TCAGCGAACAGTTCAACAGCCACAAGGAATTTCGTTTAGGCAGAAGGTGGTAATTACATAAGTGAAGGTGAATAGGTTAGGACGATCACACAGGTCCACCATGTCGCGACATGTTCAGAGGTTGGCACGCAGAAGAAGACATGAGCAGTATGCCAGCTCACGGCACCGGCGCTTCGCCACCACGCGACCCCCACCAGTCGTGCGCAGACTAGGTGTACTGAGGGGACACCCTCATCTACACAGGTTCGAACCGGTAACCCTTGGGATACAAGGCAGACGCCTCAACCCTCTGGCCACAGGCCGACTAGAGTATAAAAAATACTAGCGAAGCTAGTGGAAAAATGGATGAGCACATCCATCGCGGCTGTCCAACTGACTTGGGAAACAATGCAAGCGGCAAGCAGCCTAGCTATGGAAATGCATTGTTAATTTGTTGGAAAACGTAGTCATCCACTAAGACTACATTTTAGCGGGCCAAAAGTAGAAAGACAGAAACAGTAGGCCAATAAGTAGTAAGCATGCTTGGTTACCACGAGATGAGCAGCAGACACGAGCCGGTTAGGAATAGTATGACGTCGCCCAGACCTGTGCAAGGTTGAATCAGGCGCTTGCGGAGTACAAGCCAGAGGTCTGAATCCATTTAACCGGCCGGCCTTTGTGTGTCATGTGTGCTGGCACTGTATTGCTCCTAACTGGAGCTAAGCTATACATTCTTCCCTTGACAGTTAAAATAGTACCACGCTGTCCCCATGACTGGTTGAGGTGATGCTATACCGACTTACGCAGTATACTCTACAATGAACGGATTACCGAACTGCTCAATCACTTCGCAGCTTCGTTCGGCGAGCGCAAGGTGTGAAATCAACATCAAAGCGCACAGCGCCATTGGTCCATATTATTCAAAAGCGCTTACAAGACAGCTAGACATGACTGGAAAAAAAGCTGTATCGTCTACGTACCGTAAGGCGTCAGAAGTACGCCGGTACGCAGTACCGACGCTTCGCTGTCGCGCGACCACCACCGGTTGCACGTGGGCTAAGGAGACTGCGAGGGTCACCCTGCCCCTACGCAGGCTCAAACCCGCGCCGCAAGATTACAAGACAAGTTCGTTACCTCTATGCTGTGATAGTTAGTCACACACCGGGCGGAGTTACTTTGGATAGCCTCGATCACAAACTTGAGAAGTAAAAGAAAGAAACGGGCGCACCTGACGAGCCACGTTTGCCGAGATGAACTCAAGAGAGAGTACATCACAGACCTGTATATGATCACTAGAGTCGTGGCGCAGGGACCGCATAAGGGTGAGGAATTCCTCGGTAACACCATTCAATGGTTGACGATTTCACAAGCAGGCGGAATCAGAAGGATCAAAGACCGACCTAAGCTAAAGAGCACGGTCGTTCGACTTTAGGCTGTTGCTCACGAGGCTGATGAAATGCACGTAGGTGATCACTGCATTTACTACTGGAGTGGAACCTGGTCTGGCTTTCGTTGATCGCATTTAAACCCAGAAACGTTAGTTGTCATAATTAGATTGATGTTGGAATTTCGAATTCAGTGGCAAGAAGACAATGCCTTCATGATTTTCGTATGAAGCTTTTTGGTCCTTTGGATATAAGGAGAACCTTGGACAGTCTTCGTTACAACAGATCATCCCCAGTGTACGAAATGTCGTCGGATAACGCAGCTGGTTTGTCTAGTGGTGAGTTACCGTCCAGTATAAATGACGGGAGAAGGAGCCGATGCGGTCCAAACACATTGTGGCGTCCCGACGACATAAACTGCTGTTAGTGTTCACCGAAGTTATAAGGTAATATGTGAACATCTTAGGCGGATCCAGGCGACTCGTGGAACAAAGGTAACACGGCGAGTTCTTGGATGTGCTCTTCGAAAATGTTCCCTACAACGTTGGAGTAATGAGACGGGAGCAACTGTTCACTTTACCAGATACTGATTCATTTACCTGAGCGATTCTTAGACTCGTGCTTCGGATTGGCTAAAGGAATATAACAAATCTGAATCTCCTAGTGAAACGTGCCAACAGAGTCATATAGACAAAGGGAAATGGATTGCCCAACCGAACCATCTTGTTTCTGTTAACCAAACCAATAAGTGAACTGAAAATTCATCCGAAATATGAACATCATAAGCAAAGAATGCAAATGACTGCCAATATCTTCCTCATCACGAAATGGAAGCAAGCTCGGCCGATGGTCGGCGCATTGATATCATCCATTACTGGCAAGTATAGACTTCTTTTGTCTCAAATTACTGAACTGCAAACTGCGCATTCAGCTGGCGAGCTAGAGTTGAGTTCTTCGCTGAGATCGGGTGCACAGTAAAGTGTGATTGGAACTTAGCTGGGTCTTTCAGCTCGACTGAAAAATCATGCACCGGCGTGCAGATCCTGTAGCTATCAATAACAGCATCGATGTAAGCAAGGCACACCCTAGTTTGGCAAGTGTCAGAAGAGGGAAAGGGTATGCTCGTGTGAAAGGTTGTGAATGGTGCACAACAGAAGACGCGCCAGCATTAGTAGCAATAATAACAGCAGAAGTACATCAACAAGCCGAGTCGATATATCGCCACCATAAATTCATGATGGCACAACTAATAGGGAATGATAGTTAGAACGGAGGAGGACCAAGTGTAAAACCAAAATGCCCCGATAGACTATTAAACAATAGGATGCCTACCCCTTGTCGATACTGCACAGTCACAAACAGCTTACTAACACATGAAAGTAAGGTCATGTTAGCGATACACCTACTTAATAGATTCCACCATTTAGCGTCGTAAGCAAGTTTTCTCAGTATCCCACCAGTTAAACAAGTTAAACAACTATGACCCGGGCGACGAAGCTCAGTGGATCCAATGCAATTTTCATTATTCAATCGACGTAAAGGTCATTCATGGATGTGTGCTGGAACAGGTGGCCTGTTGACAGAATACGATGCATAAAGGATATGCGCTGGAATCAACGCAAGTGATCAAGTCAATCGATATCATAAGTGAGATGAGGTGAGCAAATGTATTCGGCGGTAAAGTTACAAATCGGACAGCTCGTACTGGTACTAAAGCAGCAAGATAACATCTTACTCGCGCAGTGCTGTGGATTGCGAAGAAATGGCTAACGCATAGGGTGTCGCATTTAATATACACTCCTGAAGAAATGTAGCCGACTACTCCAGTGTGGCCAACCATTTTCAGAGCGTTGTGGTTGACCAGGATAAGTACTACTACACAAGGAGTAAGTAATATGATGTGAACTGGTAAGTAAAAAGGGAATGGCTCAACAATGGTAAAGTCCAACGGCCTACCACAAGATGAAACCTCAGGACCCACAGGTGTAATACAAGAAGAACCGCAGAGGCAGTTAGGGAAAATCGCTGCGATAAAAAGTGTACTGCGCGACGTCCCGAAAAAGCTCGTGGCGAAACACACAGTATCCCGCAAATGAGCGGTGTAGTAAGGGGCAAATTGCATAGATGAGTAAATTTCCGAGATGCCTGATACTTCACATCAGAGCATATTGAGCATACCTTCGGTAACTTAGTTAAAGCATTGTGATAATTTCTCCAACTACTCAAATACGTTGCGAATGGACACGCCGTCAATATACAAATAATAAGTTTGAGGTTCATCGCCTTCCGAATGCCTCAAGGAGCACACATTTTAGATACGAAATATGGAACGACTTCATCAGTCAGTGCTTTTCCCTTAACGATATGTCAATTGTTTGTCGGTACCGCAGTATCGCAAAACAAAACTGACAAAATGAGATCTGAGACCCAGGCTCGACGTGTTCTCCAAAAGCCACTGATAACGCGGAAATGTTTAAGGTCGGTATAACAAACTCGGAAGAAGTTCGCGTTAATTAAAGCTGAGAACTTGAGGCCTATAAAAGTATAACTTGTATGTCTCGAGGAAGCTGAGACGAAGGGAGAATGCGATGATCCTGGCAACCGATGATTATGTGCATAAAACCGGATCGCTTTAACTACCATCCAGAATGGTAAACCAAAGTAGAAAAGTTGGATACTCAATAAACTGTGAATGACAGTGGCTGCACCGGTGAACAAATCGAAGTCAAACTCAGGGCATAACTTACCCCTAAAAGTATGCGGCTAACAGTAGGTCAAACGTGAGCCTGATTGACGACATAGTAGCCATTCTAACTGTCTAATTTGTGACGTTAGAGTTTGCTGTAGAAGTTAATTCCAGTTGTTGATAAACCTAAGAATTCTACTGTGGGATGTAAACACACGCCCAACAATCGCAGGTGCACAAGTAGCCTCCTTTAGTACGCCTCACAAAGTGGCCCTCATCGTTCATCGTTGGGTTTATGGAGTGCCCACTGTGGGTCTGGATTGCTGCACACAATCTCAATTGGGACCAAGATGTGCTTTGAAGCAAAACTCGGGCATCGCAATCACTGGGAACACATATGAAGTGGAAAGCTGTAGTGTTGCTCGAGCCTAACACTCTATATACTACAAAAATATATCCATTTCCTTTTAGGCCACCCAGGTGCAGACACGATAGCAGTAGTATGCCAACCCCGACGATGTGGATACCGAAAAGGGGAATAGGGGGACTAACTGAGATCGGTTTTGCCCGAGGGAATCCACATAGCATTTCGATTTACTTACACAAATAGCCTATTGGTAAACGCCCTAGATCAATGTGTAGTGAACAAGGAACCCAGGAACGATTGCGTGATAAAAACATGGCATAATCGGCACGCGCCAAAGGAACGACAAACTGCACACAGAAATGCCACCGTGGCAAGTTCGCATTGGTGTGAGCTGAGGTTACAGAGAACGTCACGCTATTGGCTCGTGTTTACTCGAATTGGATACAAGGGAGCAGATTAGAAACGAAATGGAAAAATGTAAAGAATTATTACAGAGCTAATTTGAGCATAATTGTGAACAAACTTTAAAAAGTATAAACGACAATGCAACAAAACACAGAAAGGACAGGAAAGCAATGCTCACTTCAACTAGTCGTCCAATGTTGACTATGTGAGAAGTGGTGATGGATTGGCCTGATTCGCCCAACGATCCATCACGCTCGTGGAAGCGAGTGAGGCTGCCGCCGAGGTTGAAATAACCCGCCGCATCTCGCTGCGTCTGCAACCATAGCATCACGGTACTGGTAAGCTTATACTGAGCCACTTTGGTTGACGTTCGCTCCTAAAGTGAGCAAAAGAAAATAAGCTGAAAACTACCAACCCAAGTCTAGACTCGCAACGAAGATACGTCAAGTCAAGCCCGAAGAGGTTGAAAGTGCTAGATAGTAGGCAATCAAGCTTACAAGAGAAAGAGCAGAATGTTCCGAAATAAGGTTAAAATATATTTGGAGGAAGCCTCACAACACAGCCGGTGAAGAAAATGATATCGGGGAGAAAGCAACGGTACGGTGAAGGCAACGACATGGTCAATGAGAGGCCAATCAGTGGCCCCTGTTGTACGCTGATTAACGACGAGACCAACGACGCACTAAATCATCCCATTGAGGAAAAAACACTCACCTGAATAAATATCCATCACCACTTAAACGATTCCTTCATCTGTAAGATCAGAATGCGGTTTCCATCAAACTGACAAGTCGCGTGTACATGGCTTCAGTGAAGACCATCCTACACCAAAACAACAAGACTTAGACCTTTCGAACGAAGGATCCAGAGCGCTTTTAAGTCTTCGATCGAAACTGATTGCGAAGTATTGCTGCTGTCAGATAGTCTCAGCGTGTCCGCAACGATGATGTGCATAGGCGATTGCTAAGAAGTGATAATCAAGTTAGTCCCTAGAACAACAGATAGCACAGAATAAGCTGTGTTGTCTTGATCACATATTACGTATGATCGGTCACTACTTCCTGAGGAGATACTAGTTTTGTTTGCCGAATGTAGTATGTCACAGACTAAAAGTGGGAATAAGTTGGTTTGGAAGCGAGAAATGAAATCACTGACAACCCAAAATGCTTTTCTTGGTCAGTCCCATCTTTCATGCTGGAGTCCACGTGATCCGCCTAGTGACTCCAGATTGGATAGAAAGTGACCGGACGTCGGCATTAAGTCTTCTAAACCGACTGTGTCTGGTGCTAAGCTATGACAAGGAGCAGTGAAAATCGCGTGGAAACTGTCGCGTTGATGTCGTCTTATCTTCAGACGACAGCCGTAGATTTGACTGGAGAATCTAGGTTTTAGGATAGATCTCCCTCTTATTATTCATCATTCGTCATCATTGTGGTTGCGCAGCAGCGAAGCATCAATTAAAATTCTGGTCCTTGCTGCTGCTTTGATGATGAATGATTTCCTCATTGTGTTTTCCCGTCAGATGTATAACCGCATTTCAGAAGGGATTTCTAGCCCGATTTCGCAAGTGGTTCGAAGCAACGTTTGGAGCTGCATCCTGTAGCAGATGGTGATGTGAGGCTTGTCAATAAGTGATCTCGAGAATTCGGGTCATGCCGTTCGCCGACTAAGATAAAAAGTTTCCTCTTTCGCAGTAATCTTTTTACAAAGTAATGCCTATCCCGAGACCGAGCATCGACTAATAACAGTAATAGGGCGTTCCCATTTGTATTGGTCACTTTCATCTCACGATCCGTGTCACATTCAATGCTCCATGTCAAAATTGTGATTCCCGGTCAAACGCCGCTTCACAGTGCCGCTGACAAACTTATACTGATTACGCAGTAGTGGCAATCTCCACGTTTTACTCACCGCGATCGAAGCCTCATAAATCCATCAATCGTCCGCAATCGTTAAATTCAAAGGGAACAAAGCTATGCACTTATCCTTCGATTACGAGCGAGAGGATTTGGGAAAAAGAGTATTTGACATGGAACAATGGAACGGTAAAGCAACAGCGGAAAATGCTACGCATCGTATACCGATAGAACGTGGGGACAGGTACATAGGTGGAGTGTCCCGTTGGTAAGAAGATAAATCAAGAAAAATTTGATTCACTTCAGTAGCGCCTTCGATATGGATGTATGATACGAGCGAGGTAACCACTTGCACACAACGTTAAGGATAGGGACTCAGAAAAACAGCATCCTCCAGAAAAGTTGTCTGCGGAACTGATAGCACTCAATGGGAAACATGCCTCCCATATGGATTTATGGCATCTGTATCCGGATTTGCCAGTCACTGTGATCAACATGGGGACAGCCAAACGACGCCTGCGCCCACAGAGGGACCATAGGTGGCGTGTGCTGAACCACCTACAGTTCCACCCACACACCCCATTTCACGAGTAAACCCGAAGGAATAAGACAGGGATGCACGTGGATAGGAGCCACGTTTCATCAACCGAGCCAGCCACACTCCTTCAACATGCACAGCAGCACCATTCCGGTCTATCTATGTAGGGAATCATGCGTAAAAGAGGTTAACAAAGCTGCAGCAGTGGGTATCCCATCTGTCAGGATCAAGTCACAACCAGGCTCAGCGCACCATGGACTCTTCCGTATGGTTGGCGGCATCCGGTTTCGGATTTGCCTGTCACTGTGGCCAGTCACAGGACGCCTGCGCCTACAGAGGGACCATGGGTGGCTTGCGCTGCACTACCCACAGCTCCAACCACACACCCCATATCCAGGGTAAACCCGAAGGAATAAGACCGGGAGACATGTGGATAGGAGTCACTTTTCATCAACGGAGCCGGCCCACACTCCTTCACAGGCAAACACAAGCACGCTGTATTTGGGGAACCAAGTACACACAAGGCGGTGGCTGGACCGTAGTCCGCTCCACACTGAGTGCATGGAACCACCCTTTGAACCTAACAAAGTCACAAGGACTGTGCACCCCGTCCCCTCCAGCAACGACCAACTGTCTCCTGGAGCTAGTATGGACGAGGTAGTGAGTAATAGACAGGTAGGCACCTTGTCAACATGCACATCAAGCGCAGCCACACCGGGGATATCAAGCAACAGCCAATCACTTGAAATAACAATAAGGAAAAAAGGATATCTGTTAAAGCATACGGGTATGCAGACATAACTCTTCGCGCAAGCCATCCATGGTCCCTCTGTAGGCGCAGGCGTCCTGTGGCTGGCCACAGTGACAGGCAAATCCGAAACCGGATGCCGCCAACCATGTATAAGGGCGTAAACATTGTGAGCCTTCTGACTTTTTTAAATGTTTCAAGAACATGCGTAAACCAAGAGAAATTGTGAGATAGAATGCATAGATATTTTATGGTAGAATTGTGAGATTTGCTTCGTCATCCACAAGCATTGGTGGAGAGATATGTACAAGGGACTGTAGTCTGTTGGGATGCAGAAAACAGAACGTTACGTCACAACATTTGGAAGGGTTGAGAGAGAGAAGGGACCGGGAGCTGGACCAATACATTAGTTCGTCTAACACTAGTTGGAGTTTCCGGGAGTCTTGCATGGTTGGAGCTATACCTCCCAGGACGACGTTGTCGGCATTTCAAATCCTATGAAATTTGATGGAATAGGAAGGTCTTTCAATGTAGGTGGTGAATAGAAAGGGGGACAGGATGGCTCCCTGCAAAACACCACAATTGACTGGGAGTACAGAAGACTTTTTGCCGCACAGCTGCGTGAAGTGGGTGCGATTTGTGAAGTAATCACGCATCACACTACACGCATATGGAGGGACGCCGTTCTCGAACAAACTGTTGAGCAGTAGTGATCTATCAATGCTCCCAACAGCGCTGGTGTAATCAAAAAATAGGATCCGTACACTCTTCATGTATTATCTAACGATAACGCAACGGAATGCACCAGCTAAGAAACGGCATCTAGTGTAGTGCGCTTTGGCTTATACGCAAACTGTTTGATATCACCAATATGATTGTCTGTGAAAATGCGGGGGATCAGTAGCTTTTCCAGTACCTTTAGCAGCACGGCCGTGCACGCAATTGGCCGACATTTGCGATATCCTTTTTTAGGCACTGGTTTTATACTGGCTGATTTCCAAATGTCGGGAATGGTACGAGTGGTTAAGCACCGATATAAGACTTGTCACAGGTGTTGCTAAAACATCTGCGCATTCTTTCAGAGCGACACTGTTGGTAGAGCATCCGGTCTACTAGCCCTGTTTAGCTTCAGCCTTTTGAGCTCCTTGAAGTGCTTGCGGAAGCAAATAAATTGGGATTCTCAGTAGTGGTGAAAGAAGGCTGAGGGTGTGTGCTAGGTGGTAAGCTGCTGAACTCAGCGCTGAGGTCATCTCCATCCTCGTTGATGAGTGTTCTGAAGAATTCTTTCCGGAGAGTTGTCCTAAAAGCTTCCTCAGGTCACGACAACTGTGGTTGCCTAAAACAACCTGAATGCAAAGAGCGTTTAAACTTTGTTTTTGCTTTTGTAGCTATGGATATGCGTTTAACACAATCAGTTAGCCTATGTTTATAAGCCTGTTCTATTTCCCTCCTCAGTTGCTTGAGTAAATAAATTGTATCAAAGGGATAACATAGATCAAAACGGAAGTTTATGTAGTCTATGAGTTGCTCGCATTTCTCTGACAAGTCATCATTTTCGAGAACTGGAAAAGCAGTTAGACAGCGTTGGTTAGAGTTTTTCGATGCTAACTGCTGAACAGTTCCGTCCGTTAACAGCCCTGGATGGTCTTTTGGTCAGCGCAACGTAGTTGGGTTTACTGTGTAGCCTGGGGAATAGCTTTACTATGCAATGGTCGGAAATGCCAAAAGGTGCAAGCTATTTTGTAGAAAATAGTACAAGTTTGTTAGTAAAAACTAAATCTAAATGCGCCTCGAGTCTGGTGGAGAATTTCACCAAATTGGTAAGCCCATGTGCTAATGAAAGTTGTGTCACTTCTATTAAAGTCTCCAAGGAGAACACAGATGGAACATTCCAATTTTGTTGCAACTCCAAGGTGAGGTGGTCTGCAAACTTCTGTAGCGCTTACAGCAGTGTGTCCGGAGCTACATACACGTTCCCAACTACCAGAGTTAGAAAAGCGCCCCGAAACGCTGGTTTACACTCCAACAGGTGACAGCTTACCGAAGTCGTAGAGTACTACAAAAGTTCTGAAACGGATGTACACCAAGCTTTGTAGATATAAATGATGACACCTCCACGATGTTTGGGGTCTCTTGGGAGATCGGGTCTAAGGTGGTGGTAATAATTGAGAATAAGGATTTCATCATCGATGTCACAATGCAACATCACTATACCAGCATTTATGAATTGCCTT